TTTTTCTAACCAACAGATCTTGGGTATGGGTACAAAGCGTTTACTGACTCTAACTCACCGAGCTCAAGTTAAACGCTTCACCCAAGACCTGCTTAAACTGCTTAAGTTTCAAGCCAGCAAACAAGTGGCAATCAAGGACTTCATGCAGGCATACCATTGGTAATTAAACATAAATAGGACACGTGTGTTAGTTTCATAGGAGCGGAAAAACTCTTTGAATTATTAGTGTTGTGGGTGCTGTAATGCAGTCTTTTGTGAATCAGGTGCTTCTCCAGAGACTGGAGAGTAACTGACTATGGGATATGTGACTTGATGGATCTGCTGACGGAGATTCCTGACACCACCATCACCATCACACAACAGCCCACCGACACAGTCATCTCAGTTCCTAAGAGGGGTGAGCGCATAACTGTCGATTTGGAAGTAGAATTTAAAAGCACATTAGACTTGAGTTTAAAAAAGGATCTACTTACCTGCAGAAACTGTTAACCAGAGAAACCTTATTTTTTTTTTTTTAATGATGCATTTCATTTTGGTTGCCTATCACTAAAGTCGTTTTCTTTTTTTCTTTACTAGAGCGTACTATGGAAGAACTGGAGCGTACCAAGCAGTTTGGGAAGGAGGTGGTGGACCTGCTTCGCCACCAGCCTCACTGTCGAATGCCCTTCAGCAAGTTTATACCAACTTACCACCACCACTTTGGTCGCCAGTGTAAGCTCAGCCACTATGGGTTCACCAAGCTCATTGAGCTCTTTGAGGCAATCCCTGATGTCCTGATGGTGAGTGTGGCGTGCAGTAGGTTTTTGCTTTTGTGCACTCGTCAGTGCTCAGCTACAAGGGAGTTTAAACAAACTTTTACTGGCAGCTTCAAGGCGATGCACGACGATCGAATCACTTCCAGTATGTACACAGCATAAGAAGTTTTGCCAGCATCAGTCACAGTCAACTGATGCTGCTTTGGTGATGAGACTTCTGGGAACGAATGGCATGGGGTTATTTTTCACTTGAGAGGATTTGCCATGCCTTTTTGATTTCAGGCCAGGTTTCTTTTTCCTGCATCTCCCTTGAGTGCTTGGATAGAACTGTCTTTGTAAATATAATTATGATGTCTGGGACTCTTGGTCTTCATGAAAAGCAAATTTACCATTTAACGCCCTCGTCCTTCATCAGGTGCTGGAGTGCGGTGAGGAGAAAGTGCTGTCTCTCACTGAGGTTGAACGTATCAAAGCTCTGGCAGCTCAGCTGGTCAAGCTGCTGCGGGCTCAGAAAAACTCCAGTCTGCCTGTGAGCCAGCTGCTCACGGAGTACAGCAAAACCTTTGGTTACGGGCTACGCCTGCAGGACTTGGACGCAAGCTCCCTGCCTGCTCTGCTGACCAAACTCTGCCATGTTGTCAAGGTAAAGAAGAAAACATCCTCAGGGGAAACTGTGTAAATTTATCTGCTGAGAAGCTCGCTGTTGCTTAGTTTAATAAAATAATAAAAATAGAGCTTCGCTTGACAGATGTTTTTTGTAAAGGCAGAAGGATGTGGTCATGTCTGCTAAAAATAAAATTAATAGATTTGTTGTCTCAGGGGTTTTGTCTTCATTATAAATTAGCCAGTTTATTAAACGCACAAAATGAAGTTTCGCACAAAAGTCCTGTCAGTCATCCTGGAGGTTATAAAGTTTTTAAAATCACAGTAAAAAGTCTCATTTCATATAACTTAAGGCACATTTTCAGATATTCTTAACTACCCACTTTGTGCATTTTTTTTTGAAAGGTGGTGGATGGCGCGGATGGTCGGGAAGTGCAGCTGATCAACAGGAAGTCTCTGCGCTCTCTGACCTCACAGCTACTGGCACTGCTCATGTCCCAGGAAGATGAGAACGTCACCAAAGGTTTGAAGGTGGAGGAGCTGAGCCAGTATTACCTAAGCGTTCACGGAGTTGCGCTAAACCCATGTGAATATGGGTTCCTTTCTCTCAGCGAGTTACTTAAGAGCCTTCCATACCTGGTCGAGGTAAGTACGAGAGTTTTCTTTGATTATTTTTTTTTTTTCAATACTTTTACTGTGCTTGATCCATAATCATCATCTTTTCACAGCTGTACCACGAGGAAACTGATGATACCACTCAAGCTGCCAGCAGTCATGGGGAAGAATTTGTGAGGCTAACCAGGCTTTACCAGTTTGCTCGTAATGTACGCGCGCTGCTCCACACCTACCATTACAACCAGATCTTCCTGACTGAGTTCCAGGGAGCATACAACAAATTCACAGGCTGCAGCCTTGATCCACGTTTCTGTGGGTACACCAGCATTGATGAGCTGCTCAGTGCGATTCCACAGGTATAGTTACTGCAGTAGAGACGGGAGCTCCTCTATAAGAAATCATTCTAAAACATGAACAGTCTTTCATTCAGATTTGCACCTTATTTGTGACATGGACTTATGTGTGCATATGAGTGTGGACTCTCAAACAGCTTTTATTTACTTGTTTCTCTCCTTCAAAAACTCAGCTCCCCCTCAAAAATCTCCTTATGTGGATGAATTCAGCTTCACCTACTGATGATAGTAGTCAGAGTTCTGAACTCAGCTTAGTGAGTTCAGGACATGTATGAAGTAGTTCTCCACCTGCTGCAGGTTCTGGTGAGATTGGACCTCCAGTTTGTAGGAGACGGACTAATGTCACTAAGATGGTGGAGCTTGAATCAAAAAATCCATTTTAGGGAAGGTTATAAATATTAAATATCACCGTATGGCAACCTGACAAGAACGCTAGATAGTGGGAGGGGATGCAAGACAGGAAGAGCAGTTCACTAGTAAAGGGATGGCACATGGTTGTGTTCATAGTAGAAAATATTTTTAACCTTATATGCTTTGGTGGCTGATAATAGACATGGGCAACCAGCCCAAGTAATCTTTGTGTGGGCAACACTGATCTAAATAAACCCTTAAACCTTTTCTCTATTGATCGCTTTTGTTAATGTCTTGAACTTTTGTGATACTTGTTCATTTCTCAGTTCTCACCATTCAGTTTCTGATTTGTTCTCATCAGGTGATCTGGATCAAAGGGCATGGTCACAAGAGGATTATCGTTTTGAAGAACGATATGAAAGGTAAAGGTGTTGGGAGTCTTTCTCATTGAAAGTTCAGATTGAACTTTAGGTTACTGACATGCTCCATTGAGCTGACTGAAGTGATCAAA